ATATAATTTTTCAATAATATTTAAATGAATATAATTATATAGTTTAGTTATTATATCTATACTATATTATTAAGCCAGGGTTAAAGGGTGAACACGTGTCGTAAGAATAAAACGGTACCGTATATTTAAAGAGGATGCAAGGTATGTGACATTGAAATGAAGAGATTGTAGAGTTTTGATTTAATTTCTATTATTTGTCCAAAAAAAATAGATGAGGTAGAGACTCTCTTGCTAATGATAATGTCTGTAGTGGACTCAAAAAAGGGAAATATAAATAGGTAAGAGAATTTCTAATTAGATATATCTTTATCTAATTAGAAGTTCTCTCAACATTAAACTTTAAGGATTTTGATGGAAGTATAAAGATATTCAAATTTGAAAGATTTGTACTTGCTTAGCAAGAAAGAAAAGGGCATGAAGAAAATTTCCACATTTACCATTCCATGAATAAAGATATTTGTTTATCGACTATTTATTTATACATATTTTAAGAAAGAAGGGTCATAATGAAAATTTTCCATTATCCCTAAGCATGTCACATGATTGAGAGAGACCAGTGTTTTAGAAAAGAAGATAGAAAAATTATCAGAAATATACTTTAATTTTGTCTAATTGGAAAAAAAAAAACCGACTTTGTTAAACCGCGTCTACATTTTTTTTCCTCTTTTTAGCTTTTCTTGACGAAAATAACCTTCGGTAGTTGTTTTACTGTAATACATATTATGCGGTAATTCAGATACCGTAATAACTTGAAGTAATATTACAGTACTTTAAGTACCAATACTTAAAGTTATTTTTACGGTATTCTTTTAACTTTAAGAAATTGAATTTTTATTATGGCACTCGAAATGCCGTAATACTTTGCACGCTATATACCCTACCCAAAGCCATTTTTGCCTTTACGGTTCTGATTTTACCGTAATAGGCCTCTCAAACTTTAACGGTCTCAACCTCAATATTTGTACCGCTCAATCTCTCACAGGTCTCTATCTCTCTCTCTCTCTCTCTCATTTCTGTCAACTCATCAAATCTTCGAGGTAAGAAATCTTATCCAAATATATAAATGATGTTGTATGTTTATTTTTTGATTCCACATTTGTAAATGGTCGATTATCGATTATCGATTATGAATGATTATCGCTTATCAATTATAAATGATTATCAATTATCAATGATTATATCGATTATCAATGATTGTTTCAATTATCAATGATTATAAATGATTATATCAATGATTATATCGTTTAGCAATCATTATCGATTATGTCGATTATTGATTATATCGATTATTGATTACATCGATAATATCAATTATTGATTATCGATAATATTGATAATATCGATATTGATTAGATTGATTATATCGATTATCTCGATATATTGTTATAACGATATATATTGATTTTCTCGATATATCGGTTATAACGTTATATCGATTATAATTGTTATATCGATAATCGTTATATCGATTTATCTCGATTATATTATTCATTATCGATTGAGTAATGATCCTATGAGACCCTCCAACACCCATGTGTGTAGGACCTCAAATGATCACTATTGAATATGACACAGATTTTTATAAAAGTTATCACCTGGGTGTGGAACTTGATTTTTCTAGAGATCTGTGCCATATTTAATGGTGATCATTTAGGGTCTTATACACATGGGCGTGAGAGGGTCTCATAGGATCATTACTCTTATCGATTATATTGATTATATCGATTATTGATTATTTATTATATCGATTATATTATTGACTATCTTAGTGATTATATTATTGATTATCTCGATTATATTATTGATTGTTATTAATTATCTCGATTATCATTATAATGATAATCTCGATTATAATAATAATTTCGATTATTGATTATCGTTATATTATTGATAATCGATTATATTGATTATCGTTATAACGATAATATCGATTATTGATTATTGATTATATCGATAATATCGATTATATAGATAATATCGATTATCCATGATTATCAATTATTGATTATATCGTTATCGATTATTGATTATAAATAATTATTGATTATATCTATTATAAATGATTATCGATTATCATTTATAAATGGTTGATAATCGATTATAAATGATGTTGTAAATGGTTGATTATCGATTATCGATTATAAATGATGTTGTAAATGATTGATTATCGATTATAAATGGTTGATTATCGATTATAAATGGTGGATTATCGATTATAAATAGTTGATTCAGTGTCTATGTGTCTGTCTCTCGCTCTCTAATATGTAGACAGAGACAAATGCGTTCTTCTTAAAAGAGAGAGACAGAGAAGACAAAAAGAGCTTTGTCAGAGAGAGATAGAGTTGAGAAAATGGGGGTCTATGGCGGTTGGGGAGAGGAAGCGATTAGGGTTGTCGAGAGGAAGCGGCTATAGCTAGGTTTTTCTCCGAAAGGGGTTTTCTTTTCATGCGGGTGGGATGGCCTTTTCATCGGAATGAACTTCCCCTCAAATCTTCTATTTTCAAGTTCTGTAGATTTAGTCAGAAGTTTTTTTTAAGCTTGAGAGGGGAAGTTCCACAGTAAGAGTAACTTTCTATTTTAAAATTACCAATTTTAGCAAACACAAAAGAGTTATAGTAACAGGTAAGTTTCTACTTCTAGGAAGTAACTTCCTGTTATCAAACACGACCCTAATTTACAATTATTCAGGAACTTCCAATTTACAGTTTATGAACTTGTTTTCGGTCATCAAACAGGCCTAGGCCGTGTTTGATAACACAACGTTACTTCATAGAAGCATGAACTTACCTGTTATTGTAGCTCTTTTGTGTTTAGTAAAAACTGGTAAGTTTAAAATAGAAAATTACTGTTGCTGTGGAACTTCCCCTCTCAAGCTTAAAAAAAACTTCCAACTAAATCTACAAAACTTGAAAATGGAAGATTTGAGGGGAAGTTCATCCCGATGAAAATGCCATCCCACCCGTGTGAAAAAGCGCCATTTCGGAGAAAAACCTAACCATAGCCGCTTCCTCTTGACAACCCTAGTCGCTTCCTCTCTCCAACCAAATAGCCCCCCAACTTTCTCAACTCTATCTCTCTTTGACAAACTCTCTTTGTTTTCTCTGTCTCTCTCTCTTAAGAAGAGCACATTTGTCTCTGTGTCTGTCTCTCGCTCTCTCATATGTAGTAGAAGAGGAAGAAAGAAGCAGGTGCCCCCCCCCAGGTATGATCTCTCTCTCTCTCTCTCTCTTTATTTCTCTCTAGAAATTCAATTACAATCGTTTGTATTCACTCTTATTGATTGCAGACTTCATTCTAGAGAGAGAGGAAAAAAGATTACAGAGAGAGAAGACATGTTGGGTCTGGTTTTGATATATATAGTAACAACGACGATCATTTGGCTCTTCTTCAAGTTTGCTAAGGCTGATGGTACCCTACTGTTTCTTTTTTTTTAAATGTTTTTATGTTTCTTTTTTATTCTATATATATATATATATATATATATATATATATATTTTAAACTTTTTATTGTTTTAAGTCCTCTGAGAGTGCAAGATATTCTTGGCGTTTTTGAGATATTTGCGATTTCCAAGTCTTTTGTATAAATAAGAGATTTTTTCTTGTCTAATTCATTTGAATTGAATTTTTTTTTCTTGAAAATAGTGATTTTATATGGTTGAAAAATGAGTTTTCATTGAGGTGATTTGCAGGGAATTTAACACTATTAGAAAAAAGAGCAGCTAAGCGTGAGGAAGTTAAAGATAAGGTGTGCTTTTTTTTTCTTTTCTCTTTTTCCATTTCTCTGTGTGTGTGAGAGAGAGAGAGAGAGAGAGAGAGAGAGAGAGAGAGAGAGAGAGAGAGAGAGAGAGAGAGTAGTAGTAGTAGTTAGTTATTAGTTATTAGTTAGTTAGTTAGTTACGTTAGTTAGTACGTACGTACGTACGTAGTAGTAGTAGTAGTAGTAGTAAGTAAGT